GTCTAATTGTTGTCCCTAATCTTCCATGGATTTGAGGCTTTTATCTCTCTCCGAAAAACAGTGAAAGATATACTTAGAGAGCAGGTTAACAAGAACTGCATCGTCTGAAGACATCGCATGCTCAAACAGTTTTTGTTTTCCTTCCATTGTGTTATTAAGATAAAATAGATTTTTGAGAATGTTGTTAGAATTATTTCTTAATTCTTCGTATTTCGGGCAAGATAAGGCTAAGTGATATTCGTTTTTCACTTCACCGTTGTTGCAAAGTTTGCAGAAACGTTGTTCGCGAGAAACGTTTTCGTATCTTCCTCGCTCAATTTGCAATTTATGATTACTTGCTCTATATTGAGAAAATGTTCTTCTTATCGTTGGGCTATCAATAAGGGATAAATATTCTTCCATTTTGTACTGGTTTTTAAATGTACAAAAGAAAGATAGTTTGGAGGAGTTAATCATTTTATGTTGCCAAAATTCAAAATATTTATCTTTCATCTTATTTACAATAGTTTTTGTATCGTAGTTGATTATATCACTTTCCAAGTTTGTTGTATTATCATAGAGTGATTTAAGCATGTTTATTGCGTTGGTGTAGAAAGATTCTTTGCCTTTTTCAAATAGTTGTTTAGACATTAGGAAGGATTGTTTAACTATTGAGTTGTCGTCTAGTTTAAAAATATGTTTAAAATAGTTTAGTATATTCTTTATATGCAATAAAAAATAGTATATTCTTTATATGCAATTATAGTATATTATAGTATATTATATTATAGTATATTTTTTATAGTTTAGTATATTCTTTATATGCAAATAATTACTGACGGTCATAATAACCTATTGTTTTCTCTCTGCATTATATCAGCGAATGTCGAGAAGTTTTAGCGTTCTTCTGAAAAATGGAGCGGTCTTTTTTGATTGTAGGGAAATTCCCAGGAGTAAATGTTTATACGGCCTAAAATAGCACACAGCATTATTAAAAATAATGCAGCGTGCACACAGCATTATTAAAAATAATGCAGCGTGCACACAACATTATTAAAAATAATGCAGCATGCACACAGCATTATTAAAAATAATGCTGCGTCACAGAAGAGATAAGGGCAGAAGGTTCACTCAAGGGTAGAATGTGTGCCAGAATGTGAGCCGACTTCCGGTGTGGCCGCCATGTTGAAAGCAACCAAACCAGAGGAAATTTTATAGGAGTTAATATGGCGGAATACGAAATAGAGACACTAAAAGTGCTCTAGCTTTTTATGTATCCAAGCAAAACTCATGATACTTTGAAAGATCATAAAGAAGAGGTTGTTCTTTGATTTAATTGTCACTACGAGGATGAGAAACGAATTTAAGCGTGGAATTTGGCCATTGTCATACATCGATTAATAATTTCACCTCGGTCTTTGGCGAATAGTGATAAACATATAAAGTTATATAGCTTATGTGTGGTTAGTCCGATCGCCGTAAAATATGTTTTGAGTGATAAGTTGGTGATATTTCATGGTGTACAAAAAGATTAAGGACGTGAATGCCATAACAATGAAGGAAATAAATCCAGTTCATCGGACCTTCAGTGAATCTGTGATCAACTATTCAATACAGTGTAATTCAACTTGCCATATTGGCCTGCAATCGTATAAAATAATATTGCGATATGAAAGAAATTGCTAGACCTACTTCTTCTTCTAAAATAAATTTTAGGGATAATATATTGACTTGAACCTATTAAAATCCTTTAGCTGTAACTTTACAAATTTGGTATCACAAGTGTGTCAAGTCACAACTGACAAGGCCTCCTTTGACATTATCAAGGAACCTCATTTACAAAACAGACAATAAAAGACCTGATTTATCTTAATGACAGTTTAAATTATAAATCTGTGAGATTCTAATATACACTCTAATTTTTAAGATACATATTAACAGTTTACTCTACAATGAGGGGAAAATAATCTGAAGATGAGAATTTTCTCTGTTACTCAAGATTATGTTACATTTAGCACCAAGTATATTATTGTTGCTATCACCTTAGGGGTTGTTTACATGAGCCCGGGTAGCCATGTAGGCTGGCCCGGTTAACCAGGCTGAAGGCCTGGCTAGCCAGGTTACATGAGCTGGTGACTTTACATGGGAAAATTCCAGCCTGGTTATCCGGGCGTCCCCTTTGACTCAAGTGAGATCTCGGCTAGGCAGATTCTTGTTAAATGATTTGTATTAAGCTGGGTGCCTCAGTTAACAGGACTAGTTAGGCTCATGTAAATAGCCCCTTAGTTATTAAGACTTGTTGGCAGAGTAAAATTTATCAGGCAATAAAACTGGTTTCAACTTGCAACAAATCGGATGTTGTTTTTTACAAAGGGAACCAAGTAAATGAAACTTTAACATCTAGTGTATTCTACTATGTACAAGTTGTACAACCCCAAAAATGTAAACAACACTTTGATTTGATTTTAGTTCCATAAATCCATATTTTTTATCCATATTATCAATCCATATTTAATTTGATTTTAGTTCCATAAATCCATATAATTTAGTTCCATAAATTTGAGTTTAGATCCATAAATCCATTAAGATCTGCAACTGTCCTACATGCACAAATGCCATCCAATGTAATGACCTAGATAACAGGAAGCAGTTTTGTTTCTTCAAGGCCTTTGATCAAACAGAAAACACATTTGAAGGTCTTCATGTTCCAACAAATTGCTTTCTGGACTACATCATGAAAGATACAAAAATTGTTTTTGAGGTTGTGCATTTACTATAGCTTGAAATTTGCCAATCGTGAACTTTCCAACACTAAAAAGAAGAACAGAAAATATTTGAAGGTAGCGCATCTTTAACCATGTGCACTGGACAATATGCTGTGTTGCCAAAACAATTAATCAATATAACTTCTACAAGTTATATTGCTTAAAATCTTTTACACCAAGTACATAAGAACTGAACTGTAAGATACAAGGCTGGTGTTAAACCTAATATTGATGGTAATCATACACAGGGAAATTACTAATATGTTGCTACACTGAGTAAATTTATACCAGGCAAGCTGAAAAATCAACAACTTTACCACAGTAAGAATGCAGCCCACAACCCCTGGTTTACAAGACCAATGCATTCCAGACTGAGCTACACTTTATAATATTTTATTATTTTGGAGCTTAATTAGTCTCACTCCTTCACTAAGATGGTAAGCCTAACAATGCTGATGGTAATTGATAACAGGTGAAATCATTAATTAAGATGGTGCTTGCTGAGTAAATCTACATGAGATTGGTGTGTTGCAATTTTGGGTCATGAACTGTAACTTCTGGCAAGTTAGTCTGCTCCACCATCAATTGCTTGATACAGATGTGAACAAATATCGTACTCATTACTGTTACCAGCAATCAAAGTTTAATATCAAAGTTACAAATTATAAACCAGTTCTGGTGAAAATGGATTCTACTCGCGCAGTTTACTTAGCTTAGTCCAAGAACGTTTTTGTTAATTAAGAAAAGAAGCCCAATACAAAGACATCACATCCCCTTTCACTGATCAGGTATATAATTTAGTACGAATAGTAGTACGAATTATAAGGATATTCACAGTATAATATGCGCCTAAAATTAAAAAAATTCAACCTACTGCGTTCTAAAAACAAGACATGACGCATTTTTCTTCAAGTTAAGTGGATTAGTAGTTGCAATAGTTTCAAACTACACTCAGAAAAACAACATATAAATGCGTATATATCCATCGGTGCCAAAACAGCACATACAGTTTGCTGCGTTTAAAATGACAATTTTAGCATCATTCAATAAGCTTTTATTATAATAAAATGAATAATCTACCTTTCTTTTGTACGTCCTGAAAATTTCAATGACATCCACCATAAAATAACGACGATATACCCATTTAAAGTTATGAAATACAAGTTTCGCCATATTAGTTTATAATGTTTTGGACCAGAGTTGGTTGCTTTCAACATGGCGGCCAGGATCCGGAAGTAACATGTGCCGGCACAAAAACTTCAAAGGTTCCGACTCGAGTGAAGCTTCTGCCCTTCTCTATTTTGTGGCTGCGTGTATCAGTGCACACAGACATTATTCGCAATCCTTCGTCATCCTGACAAGTACACGCGATAACGTGAACATCTCAAGATGAGAAGTTGACAGTGCTAAAGGCCCCTCATACAATATCATCGGGCGCCTGAAGCACTGCCAAAACGGTCACTGTGAGTCATTTCAGCTCTACTTTATAGAGAAATAGTTTTGTTTGCGCTTGTGGGATTTTATCCTAGATATACGCATGTGCAGAACACACCATAAGTTCTATTCGCGTGTTTATCCAGTTTAATACGCTCTTTGAATTAACCTTATCATTAATGATAATATGTAAACTAGAACACTATAATTGACCTCCGCTTGTGGAGATTTTAATTTAGGGCGATTAATTAAACTGAAATCTGTTCTATCACGATGCATTACATGCATGTCCTCACCAATGTCTAGTGTAACGTTGGATAGATTCATCGTCATACGGTCCCAACAAGCAGCAACGTAGTCTTCCAGCCGAAAATAATTACTTTTGATTCGGGTCAGTAATTATAATAGATAATTACTTCGGCCAAACGGCATTATTCGATATATTGCAGCCAGCTTCGGCCTTCGGCCTCAGCTGGCTGCAATAGGTCGAATAATGTCGTTGGCCTCAGTAATTATCTATTAAATATTGAGTTTTCGATCCCCTCCGGAAGCAAGGTTTTAGCAATCCATCCCTAACCAACAATGCTACAGAAACAATTAGAAGTCCATATTATTCACGAAACTTGTTGGTTTGAAAAATATTTCGACTAAAATCTCGGGTAACAACTGCACGCTTCTACAGCTAATAGCCTGAAATTTTCGTCGATTAAATTCGAGATTTTAGTCGAAATGTTCTTCAAAACTACAAGTTTCGTGAATAGTATGGACCGGCTTTTAATTGCTTCCGTAGCATTGTTGGTTAGGGAAGTATTGCTAAAACCTTGCTTCCGGAGGGGATCGAAAACTCGACCTTTGCATTTAGTCCAGTACTGCTTATAAGTACATCGACGCTCTAACCAACTGGGCCTCGAGAGCAGGTCGTGTTAACCTCTTATTATTCTGAAAACTTGTCTGTGTTTCGGAGAAAATTAGACTGCCGGATAATAATAACAATAGTCGGAAATGGTTTCGATCCATTAATTCCATTAAATGCTGCGTTATGTAGCCAGCAGACTTCACAATTCATTTTATCGGTTTCTTGTATGTTTTTAAAATCCAACTAATTCTATTCATGTAGTGGCTTGATTACGATTTTAAGAGAAATATTGTATTTTGCTTTCCGAAAATCTAGATTCATAGAATATATACAACTTGATAATTCCAGGGAGCTGGGTGGCGCAGTGGAAGCGTGCTGGGCCCATAACCCAGAGGTCAATGGTTCGAAACCATTTCCTGCTATTATTATTATTACTATTATTATTATTATTATTATTATTATTATTATTATTATTATTATTATTAGTAGTATTAGTATTAGTATTAGTATTAGTATTAGTATTAGTATTAGTATTAGTATTAGTATTAGTATTAGTATTAGTATTGGTATTGGTATTTAGTATTAGTATTAGTATTATTATTAGTCATCACCCTACTTGATCTCAAGAATGCTTTTGGTGAAGTTCATCATAATCTGATCACATCCGTACTTGATTACCACCATATCCCTGAACATGTTAAATTGATAATTAAAAGTCTATATACCGATTTTAAAACTTCAATAATTACGTCTGAATTCCGTACCCCCTTCATACCAGTTCGCCGTGGAGTATTGCAAGGTGGTTGCCTGAGTCCTCTTCTCTTCAACATGTGTTTCAACACCTTTATACAACACATAAAAACAGATAAATATCGTCAATTCGGCTTCTCCTTACAGTTTATAAATCCCATACACTGGTTTCAGTTTGCTGATGATGCCACCGTCATAAGTAGTCAAGAATCCGAAAATCAACATCTTCTAAACCGGTTCTCTATTTGGTGCCAATGGTCCAACATGATTATTCGGGTTGATAAATGTAGTACCTTTGGCATCAAAAAATCTCTAACAAAATCAATCCAATACTTGCCTAAACTACTTATTAACAAGCAACTAATTCCAAAGATCAATATCGGTGAGGCTTTTCAATACTTAGGAAGATACTTTAGTTTTAATATGTCAGACGAACACCACAAGTCTGAACTAATCTCACTCGTTGAAGTACTAATGGAAGATATTGATTCCAAACCATTACATCCAAAAAATAAAATCCTCCTCTACAGACGATATCTTCTGCCAAAATTATCCTGGCATTTTACAGTTTCTAGCGTATCGAAAACGTGGGTCACCGAAAACATTGATTCCAAAGTCAACAGTTATTTCCGTAAATGGCTTGATATACCTATATCTGGAACGCTAAGCAGTGTTTTCCTAACCCGCAACAAGTTTGGCCTGAGTATTTGTCCCCCATCTGTCAAATTTATTCAATGTCAAACTGTTCTCCATAAAGCCCTAAAAATATCCCCAAACGAAGCAATTAACGATCTTTGGAAAGCAACTAGCAACAGCAAAAATATTCAGTATGACGTTTATAACTCCACTAAGCAAGTTCTCAAGGACTTTCGCTTTGGCCAAGAGGATAAACTGCATACTCAATTAACCTGTCAGGGCTCTTCCTTCACTAATATAACAAAGTTCTCACTGTCCCAACTCACTAAAATTTGGTCTGCGTGCCAATCGAACCTTCCGAAAAATATATTCAACTTTACAGTTCGATACATCAATAACTCCCTTCCAACGCGCCAAAACCTTGCAAGATGGGGTTTATCACCGACTTCAAACTGTTCGCGATGTCTAGCTCCTGAAACACTTCTGCACGTAGTAGCTGGTTGCCAATCGTATCTAGAACGATTCACGTGGAGACATGACTCCGTTCTAAACTTTCTCGCAACAAGCCTGCAGACCGTAAGCGGCTCACATCTTTACGTGGATCTCCCAGGGTACAAAAGTCCATCAATCATCACTGGTGACACCTACAGTCCAGATTTGCTTCTTTCAACCTCAACTGGAACACTCTACATTGTTGAACTTACAGTTGGCTTCGAATCAAATCTTCAAAAAAACGTAGAGCGTAAAAAATCAAAATATAAAGAATTAATTAGGGAACAAAATGAACATTTCAACTCTGTAAAATTTGTAAATCTTTCGATTAGTTCTCTTGGTGTTTTCAGTAAAGAATGTTCTACTTTCATAGAAATGCTTAATGATTTTGGTTTTCAAAAGCAACATAAGAATTACTGTATTAGAAGAATGACGACGATTGCAATCCGAACAACGTATTATATATTTTGTTGTCGAAACAAGGAATGGATGAATCCGGAATTGTTAAGTGTTTAAACGTTGTACTGTCATTTTGTTATCTTAATAGTATAATTTTTGCATATATAATCAGTGATTT